TAAAAAAATTGCAATTCAGCACTCTTGTATAATACTGAAATCTATTAAGGAAAAATCCCACATAAGCAATCTAAAAATTCCTAAATCTCAAATTAAAAATTTTATAAAAATGTGTTATTTTGCAAATTAAGTGTAATCAAAACCTGTCAAAGTGTAGAAAACAATCTTAATTTGAAATTTAAAGAATTTTAATCCTTTTTCAACTTCCTTTTGTGATCTTATCTATTAATTTACAAGGTGAATATAAAGTGAGAGCCTAACTTTTCTCATAAAGCACCACCCCTTGCATAACAATAGTAGTTTTCTCCACGCTATAAGTCATCAATAATATCTCTAAAAGGATGAGAGCTATCACGCCCCTAGTGACCAAATTAATGACCTGGGCACAATCAGTGAAAAGAGCTAAAATCTCCGGACAAGACAAATCGAGGCCATTCATGAGAAATGACCCCTTACAATTCTGCAATAGCTGAAGTAACATCGTGAGTTACAGCAATAACCGCGTATCTCTCTATCCTCACTATTCTGAATGACACACCACCATTCACTGCTTTCATTCTGGAAAACTGAGCTATCCACCTCAAGCTTAATAAATCCACCTTGAAAATTATCCATGTTTGGTTCACTCAATCACTCGTTGGCCTAGAATTTCAATTACTTTTAAAATCTTTATCCAGACATGCTTGAAATAGACTATCTTGAGCCCTTGAATGGCCCATGTTGTATTAAAAAGCTTCTGTGGATAGCATTCGAGCAATCTCTTATTAAGTGCATCACATCTATTCATATGGGTACAATCAAAAGGGCCGCTGAATCTTGAAGATGTGTGTTCTTCTCTTGCACTAGTTGTATGCATTTGCCCCCGCAAAAAGCCACATGAACAACTCAATCTTTTCTGGCACCAATCATCTCCACAGAATTCTCCAAAACACCATCTGCTTGCTGATGGTTGCTTGCAAAACAAAAATGAATGTGACGAAATTTAATACGGTTATACGCTATTTGTAATTTTATATTGTAGTGTCATTAGATGATAACCCATGTGTTGTTCAAGGGTACGCTAGAACCACCAGCTTGTAGTGGCCTACTACACTTGACCACACATGGGTAACCATCTAATCGCACTAGAAGTGTAAAATTATAAACATAGCAATGTGCCCATAACAAAAGCAATAAAATAACGACAAGCGAAGTTATGTTTTCAATTCTTATGGACGCTTCATCATTTTTCAAACTTTAGATAGAATTGAGATTGCTTCATATGTGGGAATAAGCCAAAAATCGGAATGATAATAGAATATGTTGCCAACAAAACAACTCTTACGGAATTTAATCCTATACTACAAAATACCAAATAATTAACCACGCTTGAATTTAATTTGGTACCATTAGATATCAAATGGTTATAAATCAACACGCTTTATTTTAATAGATGAAGTCAGCTACATAAATCATATAACATTATTATACTATTTGCAACTAAATCTCTAGATATTTTATTAATTAAAAAGTTTAATTCAAAACTTTATTGGGTGTTTTCTTTATTCTCACATAACTTTACAGTGCCTTATCCATCCTCCTTGCCAGTCCTTCTAATAGCTTTTTTTTTTTTTTTTGGGTACATATCCAAATCACTTCAAAGGATTTTCTTCTATTTCCTTTTCAGTTAATGCCACGTTCTTCCTGATATGTATTCATTATGAATCATAATTTTTCTTGTATAACCTCATTCCATCTCAACAGCCAACATCCTCATCTCTACGTATCATATAGCGAGGGGGGGGGGGGGGAAGATCATGGCATGTGAATAATATAGGCGGGGCAAAATCCAGCTACCAAACTTCTAACTACCATTCCCTCCTCACAAAACCATACACCAACCAGAGCAAGAGACAAGCTTCCAGCGAACAGAACAAACCACACAAACAGCAAGTTCTTGAACACCCGGACTAACCAAGGATATATAACCAAGGGATATAAAGTGAAAATGAGACATGTAGGGACCAGAACGAAACATTGAAAGAATCATGAAGATGATTGGATCACGAAATAGCACAGACATACGAAGATTTCCAGAACTACGTTATTTCTTTGTAGTTTTCTGTTATATCTCAAAAATTAGGGGGCAAAAAAACATCCCAACTCATCTACATTACTCCCCTCCGCACCCTTCGAATAAAACTTAACCACTTCACATTTTTATTTCTCTGGTTCAATTTTCTTTCCTGAGTACACCATTGAAAAAGTCCCACTTCCTTCCTCACATATGACTTGCATATGAGTTTTGCGCAATTCAGTTCCTCTCGTTGTCATTCTCCTTCCACCAATATGGACGGGGAAAATTGAAGCCACGACTAGTTGCAAGATGCAGCAAATTATCATTTTCTAGACTATCTTCCGCAGAGTTCTCTTTCCTCAGAGCTTTAAATACATCAAAGACAAAATTATTACCATTCTTAATTTCCTTCTTTATTCTAGCTATATTCTTCAAAAAGTCACCGGCTGAGGAAGGAATAACACTCGATTCTGGGTGTTCGTCGCCTCCTTTCTGCCGCTCAGAAGTTTCAGCAGTCTCATTCACTGCCTTGTTCCCTTCATCAGTGCGTTTTCTGCTTCACAACCCGCCTCTTCGCTTTCAATATTTTCAACACATTGCGTGGCACCTTTTGCAATCTTCGATTGAGTAACGGGTCTTCCCAGATTCTCACAAAAGCCTGAATTTTTCTCAACTGAAGTTCCGTCAGAATGATTTTTCTTGTCGCCCACTCCCAAGTGCATTTCCTTGCCAATTTTTAACGTTCTGTCGAAGTTGGGAAACAGCCTCATAGTTGCAGAGATCTTTAGGATCAGAAACCAAATTCCTTTTGGAATTATCCAAATGCTGTTTGATTTTCTGCGGTTCAATCCCGAAACAAGCCTGTGAAGATTCAAAACCTGGATTTTGCTCTGAATTCTTCATTGATTTCTGTGGTGGCTCACCTGAACCGTCCTTTGAAAGCAATTCCCTCTTTGAAATCCGAAATTTGTCTATTTCAGAGCGGGAAATCTCGATTATATGAGCTCCATCGTTACCATCCAAGCATTCAGCCACCAATGTGCGTCCAGTCCCCTGGTTCAATACGCCTTGTGGAAACCCTAATTCCGATTCGTCCCTTAAATCAACATACTCTGCTGCTTCTGCATTCTCACTGAAATCAAAGAAACCCTGTGCTTCATCATCAGTCTCAACCACCTTATGGATTACGCGACCATGACTTTCGGATGCGGACTGCGATGACTGCTGCTCAGGCGGAGTATGAAAAACTTCTTGGGAACCCCTATCTTTGGCTGCGTCTTGAAACGTCTCCGGAAGAGACGCAATCGCAATGCCGGTGGAAGCCACTGGGACTCCACAGGAGCTTAGCGGTGCTCCGTCGTCAGGGTCAACAAAACGACAATGACGAAGGATTTCTTCCTGAGAGGAAGATGTTTGGCAAACCTCGATTATATCGTCCAATGCAGCGTTCGTCTCAGCCGCCGCCATCGAAGCCTAGGGTTTAAGTTATCTATTCATAAGTTGAAATGCAACAAGATGAAGCTGCAACGGTCGCGTTAGGTAACGGAGGAAGAGAGAGGAGGACTCGATGAGAGAAGAGTGAAGTCGCCGCCACATTCGATCCCGTCTCTCTTTAGCGGCTTACCCAGGCAAATGAATCGAGCCGTGACGAAGTTACAGGCTAGACGCCGATGCGAGGGGACGAGCTACCCAGGGCAAATCGGCGATTGCCCGGTAAATTTATGACCTCTTTTTTGTTTTTTGGTTTGTTTTTTCCTTCCTCCGAGATGCCGCCAAATGCATAAAACGTTGGAATTTCAGTAATGACATTGATTGCCCTAATAAATTTATGAATAGAACTCATTTAGTCATATAAAAGATGTAATAAATATATATTTTATTTTATATCTAAAATTTAATTTTTTTTAATTTTATTCCTAACAATATATTTTTTATTTATTATATTTTACTTATTTTTTATTAATTAGAATATATTTGTGAAAAAAATACTTGCCTTACATATTTATTGTTTTAAATTAATTTTAACTAATTTTTTAATAAATATAAATAAATAAAGTTTATCTTATATTTTGAACCTAATAAAGTGTTAGTAAGAATTTCAATAACATAGTAGTATAACATAATGAGACGCCTATCTAGCAAATATAGCAAAGTATTTAAAAAAATAAATGACAAATTTGATACTAAAATTTACTAATACATTAAGATTGTGGTTTTTTTAAATTATATGAAAAAAAAATCTGCTTTAAAAAATTATTAACTTAATAGCGTTGAAATCAAGTAATTAAAAAGTTGCTCTTTCTGTAAATTTTTTGTCAATATATTAAAGTTAGTAGGGAATACATATTATGCATTGTCAATTTTTTATTCTTAGTATTTCCAAATTTTTTTATGTAAAATATTTTTTTATAAATAAATATTATATAATATCAATTTTTCATGGTTTAATTTTTTGAAATAATATCATTTTAAATTATAAAAATTTATTTTAGTATTTTGAGTAACATTAAAAAATCTTTAATAAGATCTCCTGAACATGAATTTGTAAAAATAAAAGCCTTAACTCAAATTTTGATATTTCTTTTTTTTTTATGGAAACAAATTTTGATATTTCAAGAAGATTTGATGGGGGTTTTCTTCATATTTTGTATTTCAATTTCAAATTTTTACTGTTCAAATAGCGATCACGGGGCACTCGCTAGTCGCTAGTGCTCCATACAGTCCCAAAATGGGCGTATCGGCCAATGACCTTTCTGTCAAAAATCAACCATTGTCTCTCTTTGTTTTTCGATGATTGGATGAGGAATCGCTTTAAGCCAATAAAATGGTAGAAAAAGAAAATTGCGATGCGAAGCTCCCAGAGATCGTTTCCTGTCACTGTCTGCTCCGCTTTTTCAATATTTTTATTGCATCCTATCAAGTATTAGGATTCCGCAGCCATAACTCCATCCTCACTTCTTAAACTCGTGTCTCCTCTTTCTGCAATCACAGAGCAAAGTTCACAACAATGGCCTCCTTTCCCCCCCCTACTCATTTTTCCACCACTTCTTCCTCATATTCCAAACCCCATCTTATCTACAAGCCTTTCGCCTCTCTCAAATCCAAAAACCCTTTCTTTTTACTCTCTACTTTGAAAGCTTCAGCTGACAATGGGGTTGGAGCTTCAGCTGCTACTCAAGTGGAACCGCTGCTGCAGGCTGTCTCCGAGCCTACTTCTCCGCCGCCGGCGTCAGGTAACCTTGATGGCTCTGTGGGAACTAATGGATCCGTTGCTGCGGCCGCCGAAGCAGAGAAGGCGCTCGCTAGTTTCACTTTTAAGGATGCAAGATGGGTCAATGGGACATGGGATTTGAAGCAGTTTCAGAAAAATGGAAGTACTGATTGGGATGCTGTTATTGATGCTGGTGAGGTTATGAGATTTGTTTTGCTTGCCAAATTAATGTGCTCAGAGTTGCTGATTAAGCGTACCTTGTGAATGAGTGCTTTGAATTGATTGAATCTAGATCATGCTTACATTGGGCTTCTGTTCATGTTTGAAGTGGTTGTGATAATATTTCAAAAAATGATCCATTTGGGCTTCTCTTTGTTTTCCAAGTTACCGCTTCCTGTTTACGATGCTCGCAGCTACTGATTAGCTTGAGATTTGATGAAAGTGAAGTCAGGTTATGCTCTAGTTTCTTCTTTTCTGAATATATCAATCCATATGCTTCTCAAGATTCAAGTTAATGAATTCTATGCCATTTTCTCCACTCCCCATTCCTTACTCCCAAGGTCTTGAGACATACCCTTGTGAACCCAGAAAAGAAAATTGAAAAAAAAGAAAGAAGGGGAATTAGGGCTTTTGGGCGATTCTCTTGTATGAGCCATATATGGTGATTTTGTCTATAGCAGCTTCTTATTCTCTTTCTTTCTTTTAATTTAAGGGGTAGGCACTAGCTACCCACTAGCAGGATTGAACCCGCCAACTTCTAGCTATAGGGCAGGCCATTGAATTCTTACTCTCTTTCTAATTCTCATATTTGATTAGTTAAGTGTCATAACTCGTGAAATAAGTTCTTCCACTTGTCAACTGTTCAAGTCTTGGTCTCATTCACAAATTTTACACACTTAACCAACAGAGAGAAACAGAGAGAAGAGGTCGATGGGGATAAAGTCAAGTGGATCAAACATACAATTTCATTGTCATTATTCTGTTATATGTGTATGATTGTATGACATTAGATGATCCAATTTATATACCTGTTCCTTGTCTCGACTCTTGGAGATAATTAATCGAGAAGATTGGTTGCTAGTTAGTCCTTGTGTCAAGAATTCTAGCTAGTAGCAACTTCTCCTAAGAACTAAGTAAGCCGTTCAAAAAGAATTCCCCCTGATAAGCCCGCTTTCACTTGGTAAACAAGGTTAAGTATATTCGCCGATTAAGAGCAAGAGTTGGCGCAAGGATTTGACCCTCTTGTTATTATTCTCCAAAGTTTCTGTTTATACACGCTCTAAACCACTTAATCTTAGTATCTCCTTTCGTATTTGTTTTCAGAGGCTAGGAGAAGAAAATGGCTTGAGGATAACCCCGAATCATCCACCAACGAAGACCCTGTAGTTTTTGACACCTCCATTATACCGTGGTGGGCATGGATGAAGAGGTTCCATCTTCCAGAAGCTGAACGGCTTAACGGTTTGTTCTGATTTCTTTTCTGAAATGGAGCTAAGAAAAATGCTGGGTTTGCGCCAAAATGATAAAAACCTTAAATTTGGTTCTGTTTCTGTTTTGATCATGTTGCAGGCCGAGCCGCAATGATAGGATTCTTTATGGCATACGTGGTTGATAGCTTGACAGGGTTAGGCATAGTAGATCAAACGAACAACTTCATCTGCAAAACTCTTCTGTTCATATCAGTGGTGGGAGTGCTCGTGATCCGAAAGAATGAGGACATTGAGAGTATTAAGAAGCTTCTGGACGAGGTTACATTCTATGACAAACAATGGCAAGCAACCTGGGAAGATGATGAAAACTCAAGCAGTTCCAGAAAAGAGTAATGCAAAGTGCCTATATTCTATAGCTTCCCTTGGCCCCCACCTTCTGTATCTACATAGCAGTGTTATTATCTTGCTGGTGCAAAACCGTGACATGAACATCAGAAACATGAATCAGCCGTATAATCTTATTCTATAGCCTCCTTTGTCTTGTCCCCTTCTGAATCTATAATGTGATGGTTTGTTTAAGGTTGTTGATTGACTGTGTTTTTATAGACTATATTCAATGGTGGTTATAGGACCATCATTAACAAAGTACTGAAAAGCTGGAAAACAGTCGTGTGAAGAAGGATTCTGCAAAGTGGGATCTGAATTACGAGAAGGAGATTTCGGTTTGTCGAAGCAGTATCTGTGATTATTATTTCTGGACTTCGTTGGTGCCATATTCTACAACCAAGTCCAATTCTTCTCAGAATAGAGTTAAATACTTAAATTCTGATATGCTATCATACTGAGCAATTTTTTAAAGACCAATTATATACCTTTTCCTGTTTTCGCTTGGATTGCATCAAAGAATTTTTAGGATGTCAAATGGGGTCCTAGACTAGACTAGACTAGACTAGACTGATGGTGTTGGACCAAAGATGAAATGGACTGCACTTTGTTGAGAACTGAACAGTCGTGCCCATGTTTAAAACACAATAGACTATTTATTATTTTTTTTCTTCGCACAAACACAGACATTCTTCTATCAGGGACATTCCTGTTTGAGATACTGTTAGGTATTAAAACTTATCAATACAAGCTGTTCAGTTGTTATAAAATTTTTTAGTAGTTATTTTTCTTTAAAACTTTAGAGTAATTCTCCAGACAAGAGAGTTGAAAGAGCTGAAAAGCCTACAAAGAATAAAAAATTAACTGTAAAAAAGTCATAACGTATTTCAAGCCATTTATAATCCCATGATGTTATTTTATTGAAAATTTCATACGTTACTGTTTAATTATGTTAACAAATAGACTTATTATGCATGTATCTTTTTTTTTTTTTACATATATTATTGTATATGGATATAAATTTTTTTTAATCAGATTTATGTGATTAGTTTCATAGCTGATTTAAACCGTTGAACCATAAAACTTAAAAACCTGCTGGCTTTTCCAATTCAACGTTCGTGCAGCTTTTAAAACATTGCATATGATTCTCCGTCAATCGTTTTCAATGAAAAAGTGAGAGGAGAATCATAAACATTTTTCACATTTGAATATGGCTCCACAGGTGTATGGTCTTCAATTAATCACAACATTTTTTTTGCCAACTAATCCCACCAACATTAACGCCAAAGTGATCCATTTTTAAAGCTTCCAATCCTTTTCAATAAAAATCTATTCAATTATAGACACATTCCCCATGCACTGTACCACGATTAATAAAATAAGTAATAATATTTATAAATTATAAACATTTATTATGATTTTTATGTTTTCATATCAAAAGTTATGCTATTGTTGCTGTCAGAATAATAAAAGAAGAGCTAGGAAACGTAATTAAGTTTTATGTGCACAGTAAAACACCTTTTGCAAGAAAAAATAAGAGAGAGATGATAAGAATTAAACTAATGGATAGAAGCCTCTAATATATAGCTGGTTTTTTGGTGAAAAAAACTTTAGATGAGTGGATCCCAGGAGTTTGCTGGGCCAGGATATGCCTCCAGGTTTAGAGAGCGCTTATAGAGATATTTACAGATCCCCTCTAATATATAGCTTTGGTTAGAGATATTTCAAGAAAGCTAAATATCCATTAAACCTATAAGTATAATGAAACATCTCTTATGTGGTAAGATTATGAGTTTATATTTAAATCTAGAATCAATCTTAAGTAATTCTAAATAAATAGATATATCTCTAATATATATTTAATATGGATAATATAAATTGATTTAGTTTATATCGTAACTAATCAGATTTAATTGAAGTTGTTTGATCGAGTCAAATATGTCATAATCTTATTTAGATATTTAATTGAAATATTTTTTTAATATCTAGTCAAATAGTTAATTCATCAACGACAAATCCAAGTCCAAAAATTCAAACCGTTGCCAATACTGAAATATTGAAAACTGTGGCAAAATTAAATCTTCTTTGTACATGAAGGAGGAGGAGAGTAGTTTGGTTTAATACCCTTCTCGGTTTTAATCAAATCTTAGTTTTGATTCTTATAATTTTAAATTGTGATTTTTTATATGATTGAAAAATTATGGTTTTTTTGTCCATATAATTTTATAAAAGCTTGATCTCAATTAATGCAATTAAGTATAGTGACCAAAATCAAAACTTATTAAAAGTATAAAGACTAAAACTAAGACTCGTCTGGTCCCTATACTATTAACAAGTTTTGATTTTAGTCTTTATATTTTTAATAATCTCTGGTTTTGGTTTCTATATTTAACAACATTAACTAATACGTCGTTACATTCATACTAAGTCTTTATGAAAATATATAGATAAAAAATCATGATTTGAAACTATCTTAATTAAAATCAAAAGTTGATCAAATTGTAAGGATAAATAATATTATTAATTCAATAAATTTATATATATTGTTATGAATATAATATTTGTATAGTTGGCAAAATATATATATAATACTTATATATAGATGTATATGCATTTCCTCACATCATTTCAAATTTCTCAAAAAAAAAATGTAATTCCTACAAGTTTTGTAATTTATTTTTTTTTCCCTCCAGAGTGCATTAAAGCTGAGACAAAATCATCATTAATTTAAAATAAAATTTTTTTGAAAACAAAAGACACCTCCAACAATAAGGGCAAAAAATCTCTTAACAACAATTAATAGATCTCACAATATAGACTTATAAACATTTTAAAAAAAAATATTGTAATATATCCAAAAATTTGTCAGAAAAGCTTATGTTTAATAATTGAGGCCCCCAACCCAAACATTTTCCGCATTTTGAATATGGTTCCGTATTATTTGGGAATTTGGCAATCATAACAAACATATGTAGGACCAAAAAAAAGACAAAAGAAAATAAAAGAAGGGATAATGACAGATAAAGAAGCTCCAAAATGTGAAATGCCAATTTGGGAAGCTAAGGAAATGTAATTACCCATACGGAAGTCCTTCCCAAATTGGGATTTTGAAATTCAGTGAAATGACAAAAATGCCCTTTATTCTTTTTTTTTTTAAAAAAAACCCAGCCCCTCACCGGTGGCCGGCGCCGGTGGCCGGAGTCAGGTAATATTATGTATAAGGAAAAGTTGCTTTGTTAATATCAAATTTAGACTTGTTATTTCTCAATTAAGACTTGTCATCCTCAGATAAATTGTTGTCACGAGCTGGAGTCACAGTAAAAGAGTTAACTTATATTTTTGTTTGCATTATAAGGTTAAGAAATCTTTGATGGCCCAATGGCCATCTTTTTTTTGGTCCAAGTGGCCAAGGGGTTGTGGGATCAAATCCCACCCCCGCCACTTTGAACCAATATTATCCTATTCCCAAAAAAAAAAAAATCTTGTCACAAAAAATCCTTCACCGGCAGCCACCACACCGGTGGCCGGAGGCGGTCGGCGGCCGCCGGAGGCCAGTCGCCGGCGGTGGTCGCCGGTCGCCGGCCACCGGTGAGGGGCTGGGTTTTTTTTTTTTAAAAAAAAAGAACAAAGGGCATTTTTGTCATTTCACTGAATTTCAAAATCCCAATTTGGGAAGGACTTCCCTATGAGTAATTACATTTCCTTAGCTTCCCAAATTGGCATTTCACATTTTGGAGCTTCTTTATCTGTCATTTTCCCATAAAAGAATGGTTGGTTTAGAGGAATCTGGAATGGTGGATTCCGCATAATGCGAAGCAAATATTAAACGAAAACGAAACAAACATATATTCAGTCCAAAAAAAAAACGAGAGAGTTAAAGTGTAGTTTTTGGAACAAATTTGTTCTACAAGTTTAAAATCAAAACAATGTCATGTCCTATCATAAAAAAACTAATATTAACTATTAAAATAGTAACGTTAATTGTTAATATTTTAACAATATGTGGCAATATTACTACGGTTTTAAAGTTTCGGAGCAAATATGCTATCATAAAAATTTCTGCATATCCAACACTCTTGACTAAAAACTTTTAGAATAAATTTCTTACGTAACCCCGGTGTTAAATAATTCTACACTATAGGAGATATAAATGTGAGAAAAGTTTTATTTTGTAAAAATGTCAAAACATTTTCTTTATTCCTAAGCTACGAAAGTAATGTAATTAAAGAGGTACTACTTTTTCTTAATATAAAAGGTAAATAATTAATTTGAGAATATTAAGAAAATTGATTAAATTAATAATTTCTAATTAATGAATGTTATCTTTTTTAAAATATCTTTATTGCTCATGTGTATTCTAACTATTACTTGATAAAAACTTCTTAACATGTGTAATTATCATAGGGATTACTTAAGAGTAAAATAAATAATCATTAGAGACAAAGAGGATTGATTTAAGACTAAATTGAATATTTAACCAACTCTTATTTTAACGTTATGTTTGGTGTGAGGAGAATAGAGGTAAAAGAAGGAAACAAAAAATTTTAATGAGCTTGACTTGAAAAATAGAAAAATTGGGGTTTTAAAATTTTAATAAAAATAAGATATAAGATAAAATAGTAATAGAAATTAAAATTAATAAGGAACCTAAAGTATCGGAGATAGTATTAGGAAAAGCGTGTCTAAATAGTGATTAGATTATTAGTGACGCCGAAAAACACTCTATTTTGGTGGGGCCCAACTATGATAAAAAACGAAGACAAAACAACAATAGTAACGCATGTGTTTAGAAAAATACCAAAAGAAATATGAATGCTTTAAATCACGTGAAAAACCAGTTGTTCAGAAGGTAGCGCATCAACTAAACTTGTAATAGAGGCAAGAAATTATGAAGTTGGACATGTTTGTTGTTTTCACACCACACACTACAATTTCTCTAGTTACAATTATGTTTTTGTCCGCTTTTTGAGATATTTGGATAAAAACTAAACCATCATTTTAAAAGTGTTTTTACAGTTTATGAAATAAATACGTAGAAAAATTTATCTCATTTTACAGAAAAATCCTTCTTAAAAATACTTTTAGATGTTCCCAGACACCTCGTTCGCCTCCCACCTCATATTGTACTTGGACATGTCCGGTGAAAACTTTTCTTTTCTCTCTCTTTTTGATAGGTCTTATCTCGCTTGAGGAAAGAAGCCCATATAGCCGTTTAGATCGTATTTATT